GCAGGTGTTTTAACACACCTGCTGTGTGCTCTCCCACAGATGGTGAGGAGTGGAAGCTGGTGGGGTGCCGAGCATATTTGTGGACCATCTGGGGCCCAATGTCAGTCCTCGATCTGGACCAAGTCTGGGAATGGGTGACTTGTGCACACTTATGTTAGAATAATTTACAGTTCTGTGGACACTGCACACAGCTGTGAGATGAACTCACTGCTACAATGGCCAGCTTGCATCCTGGCTCCCTGGGCTGTGTGGTCCTAAATGTTCCAGGCACACACACACAAAGCCCAGAAAGCCATCACGGCTTTCTGGTTTCTGCGCTCCTTCCAACACACCCTGCGTCATCTCATGAATGGATCTGTTTGCTTACAAAATATGAAGGTGCTTCCTTTCTTAAAACAGAACCGCTAAATCAGAGCAGTCTCCATGAGCAGGGCTTGATTGTGAAGAAGGTAAAAACATGGTCAGAAGAGCACAGTTCTGCAGCGTCATCCCGTGTTCTGGCCGAGGTGTTCAGACACACAAACCGCACTCCTACCTGCTCATGGGACTCATTTCCCTCCTTGAGAGGGAAAGAGTTCAACAGAAGTGCTGGCTGGCCCCTGGGATCGGAGAAGCTGTTTAATCTCGTACAATCCTTGCCATTGTCTGCGGTCTGCACCTTGCTGCAGAACAGGACTGTGCTGTTCTGGAGGTCAAGGAGGAGAACATGTAAAAAGTCACGGTGGCAGCTGCATAAACTCTGTGATCCAGTGGCGCGGTCCTCTCCTGTCGTCTGGGGGTGTCTACCCCTTTGGGAAAACAACTGGGGTCCTGGTGCGTGGTACACAAGAGCAATGGAACAACTGTGCCTCTGAGGACCCTCACTCCTCAGCAGTTACTATCAACTTACAGCACCAATCAGGAGAGTGTCCCCCAGTGCTAAATCTACCCCCCTTCTCCCTTTCCATCCCTTCTTTCCATCACTGCCATATAGCGAGTCCTAAGGCCAACTTCAAATACCACATCCCATTTCCTCTCCCACTGTATCACTACTGTATCCAAAAACACACAGAACCGTGATAAATGAATACATAAGAGGGTCTGGAACTGGATGGCAGGAACTCAGTGAGCATCACACAGAGGGCTGAGCGCCCTGTGAAGACTGGGCACTCTGGGGCATGGCCAGGAGACCACCTTCCTTGGAAGGGAAGCTATATTTGTAGTCAACTGTATCTCACCTTCACAGATACCAGCTTCCTGCAAAGAGGAAGGAGCTCATATTTTGGGACTAGCACTAAGTGATAAATAGTGATAAATAGTTGCTTTGTTTGTTTTGTTTGTTTGTTTTGCAGAATCCCATTTGATGCTATTTCACCCTTGGCAGCGTAGGCTAGAACACCAGTAAGGAAAGAGCACTGGAAAGCAGATTTAATTAGGAAAATGAGCTCAATGCCTGGTAAGATCACTTCTTAGTAGTAGGAACAACAGCCTTGGTCACAAGTTTCTGCAGAGGTAGGAAGAGATCAAAGCTTAGGGAAATTGAAAGGTGTGTGACAGCAACGTGGGATCAGAGAGAGAAGCTCAATGACAGAATCTTTACCATTCCTCACAGCCAGTCTCCTCTAAATGTACCAATGATCCTGCCTCCTGGTATTCTCCAACAGGCTGTCCTCTCTCACATGCTAGAGGAATAACCTGGTTAACCAAGAGGATACTGGAGAAATTATGTGCTTTGACTTCCAAAGCAAGGTCATAAAAATCATCAAGTCTCTACCTGTTCCTCTTTTGGGCCATTCACTTGGAGAGAAGCCAGCTGCCATGACAGGAGGAACCCCAAGCAGCACTAGGGAGAGATCTATATGATGGGAGATTCCAGACCTCTTGTCAACAGCCAGTATCACCTTGCCAGCCACGAGAGTGAGCCACCTTGACACACGGTCTGCTGCCCCAGGTGAGTCTTTAGGTGACCACAGTCCTAGCCAGCATCTTGACTGAAACTGCATGAGACACCCTAAGCCAGAAACACCCAGCTAAGTTGCTTTCTGATTCCTGCCCCACAGAAGCCCTGCTACATAGCAAATATTTATTGCTGGTTTTGGTCCCTAGATTTTGGTGTAGTGCATCATGCAGCCATATATCACAAGTATACCTTCCAGGTATACCTACCTGTTTGTTTCCATAGGAACCCGACTTTGGCTCTGATGAGAAGCTTGCTTGGATCTTAATATCAGAACCTCCTGATATCAGTACCCCCTGCCTGGATATCCACAGGCAGAAAGTTTCCTTTCTGTATCTCTTTCTTACACCATATTCAACTACTATGGCTAGGTAAACTGACACACACGCAGAAATCTTGGCACATGCATGCATGTGAATCTACACACACACACACACACACACACACACACACACACACACACAGCTTTCTTTTAAACTCCAAAAATCACTCAGATAATGAAAATATAAACTTTTTTCCAGAAGGGATTGGGTGGGTTGGATGTTTTAAGCACTGTTTTCCATGCTATCTCTGAATGGGCAGAGTAAGGCGGAGGCAAGGGAGGCTGAGGACTGAGAATTGGAAGATGCTTCTATTCTTGCTCACTGGTCATAAAATTCAGAGCCTGGTGAGCAACGGCAGGAGAGGAAAGGCACAGCCCAAAGTCTGCCTTCCAGCATTTATTTAAACATTTCAGGTTGGAATCTTCCCCCTCTACTCTCTTTTCGGCATCCCATCTTACCACCCTAGATGAGGAGGAAGGTCTTTGGTAAGACAAAAATACAGCTAATTGGTGAGCACAGTAGCATATCCAAATAATGCCAGAGGCAGCCAATGCAGTGAAAGAGAAATATGTTCTTGTCCACTGGACGCTTACTGTGAGGAACACGGAAGATGGGTGTAGACTGGGTACCCACAGCCCTTTTCTCTCCAAGATGGCACCAGGAAGAATGCTGAGAGATTGGGAGGCCTTGGAGCATTCTCTAAGTCCAGAGCGGGCCAGAGCAGCCCCAGGGATGGAAAGCATCTTGGGGCATAGAGAGCAGCCAGGGTGGGAAGTAACTTGCAGATTCCTTCCAGAGCGGACCCAAAGGGAAGCCACTGAAAAGGTGGGCAGATGGGAAGCAGTGTTTCTCCATCATCCTAACACTTGTTCATTTTTACTTCTGCCACAGGCTGTCTGCCCTTCCAACTGCTAAAGCACATCAAGGCCTAACTAAGGGCTGTGTGAGCTGTGAAACAGTCTCATCATGCAGTGCATGGGGTCTCAGAGAAATTCCTGATCCAGCCTAACATCAGTTCCAGGAGACGGTGTTTCCTGAATGCGCATCAGCGGTGTGGTGTTTGTAGACTCCCTCTCACTCTCCCCTGTCCCAGGATGCCCTCTGGGACAGTGTTTCGGCTCTGCTCATCCAAATTGCTGCAGCTTCCCCCAGTGAGCTCATCCGTGCCTATGACTTCACTCACTGCTCTGATGAAGCCCCAAAGCAGGGTTTTCAGCCCTGGCCTCTTGCCAGCATTGCAGCCCTGACCAATTGCAGCTATGCGCACTTACCTCCTCCTCCTGGCTGTCTGACCCTCCCCAGGCTCTCAGCAGGTTCAACTTAGACTGCAGCCCCACAAAGATTTGTCTGCACCCCATGGTCTTACTCCTGGCTAGCAGAGCAAACTGGGAACTCTGGCACCTGTTTTGCCTCTTCTTTGCAGGTTCTAAGTTCATTCTGCCCAGGGATCTTCAGTCTTTCCTTCATGGTTTTAGCCAACCATATCTCTGTGCTTGTCACCTCCCTCTCTTTAAAACTGTCTTTGTGACAGATGGAATATCCTCTTTTCTCTCTCTGTACTACATCCCACCCATATTTCAAGGTTCAAAGCAAGTGTCCCCATTTCCTGAAGCCTTATTGGAGCCTGCAAGTTTCTATTTTTCTCCTTTCTTGAATTTCTATTCATTCTACTGGGAAAAGTAGTTACTGAGAGCTTACTGTAAACCATGTGCTAGGGCTGACAAGGGGCTGTGCCAGTGCAGTCAGTCATTCAAGGAGATTACAGTTGAGCGACCATTACAGTCCTTAATCATTTCATTATTTTCTCTGTCTTAATGGAATTTCCCCAGTCAAATTCTTAAAACATTCAAAACAGAGTCTTAAATGCTTTTCGTAAAGCCTGTAATGACTGGTAGACTACAGAGCATGTAACAAGTTCTTACTTAACACTTATGGCTATATGCAAGATGATTATTTGAGTATGACAAAAGGTACTCTAATCCTTATCTAGGTTAGAGAGAGATCTTCAGCACAGAAAAAGATGTATCAAGAAATTAAAGAAACCATGCCGTATTTGAAGGGTCTTTGACATGTCTAATCAGTAATTCAATTTAACCTGACAAATTTTTTAAAACAATTACCAATAACCCATTCCCCAAATCCCATAATCATGAAATAAGTTCCACTTTAAAACTAGAGAACAAATACAAAAATTATTTCATCACATTTTAATAATTAGAATTGCAGATATTAGGAATCTCCTAAGAGATTTCTCATAAGATAGAAAGAAAAGTACACTGAGAAACACTGAATACAAAGTTTTAGATAATACCATTCTGTCATCTTAAGGGCAGCAGAATCCCAACCCAAGAGGCCACCAGGTATCCTCTCAGCAAGCACCTCCCAGAGTCAGGGTCAAGGACAGAACTGACTCAGATAATATCACTGTGCCTTTTCATGTGTCCCCCAGGGAAAAAGATTTTTGTGCATCAGAAAAGGAAGAATCTCATTTCTCCCAAGTGCAGAATTGTTGGTATAAAATAAAAAATGGGAAGCTATTTCACTCTTCCAAACCTTCAATGCATGTAGGTTTATGTTCTTTGTTCAGAGGACCTAGTTTGGACTTTAACTTAGACACGGAATTCAAGGAAGGTGTGTCACTCTAGTTTAGAAGAGAACTTCATGGGCTGAACAGAAGCTCAGAAACTCAGTCCAGACATATACACATTGCCAAATTTCATCTTTAAAAAATTCTCACTTACCTGCCAGAATATGCTGTCTATTGTGTTCCCAAGAAAACCATCACGACCTTCTGAAGACACCAGCTTGGGCCCAAGAATTGTCATGAATTCATCAAAGTCCACCTGGCCATCCCCTGGAAGGAGAAGACGTAAGTGTGAGTGGAAAAGCAGCTGAACCTGACTTGCTGAACCTGATGCAGTGAGTATCTCTGTGTTCTTCTCCTCACATGTCCTCAGTTAATGAAGTAGAGCTGGTAGCGTTACTGAACATTATTCAACAGTCTTAAAACGCCAAAGTACAAGAAAGCAGAAATTACTAGTATCCCTAATATCTCAAATTCCTATTTGTCAGTGCAGTCATATACCCTGTAACATTGCTTTGATCAATGACATATTATATGCTGCTATTATAATGGAGATATAAAAATCCCTATAATCTGGAGACATTATAGCCATTGTACTGTCACTATACTGTCACTGATGTTGTTTGTGGTCATGCTGGCATAAACAAACTCCCAGTTGTATAAAAGTAATAGCATGTATAACTATGTATGGTCCACAATACTTGATTATGATCATAAATGACTATTTCTTATATATTTACATTACTATACTTTTGTCATTATTTTAGAATACACACCTTCTACTGATAAAAAGTTCACTATACAACAATGTTCTATATTATTACAAAAGCAGTTTCGTACATATCCTGCTGATCAAACTTCTTGATGGCCTCATTTTTTCTTGTGCTTGATTTAACCTCATGTTTGTTCATCATGGCTCTGGGAGCAATGTTTTATACCATAATACAATTATACCATACATACAAGGGCTGATCAAAACTAAAATGAATACTTAAATTTACAGAAATTCACTTCAGTAGAGAGACACATTGCCATTCATCACCCTCAAAGTCTTGCCCCTTGCTTTGAGCACACACCATTCTTGCCACTTTCTGAAGCGGTTCTGCAAGTCCTTTGTCCTAGGTGTCTTCATGAGCTGTGATCAAAAATACATTGAATGCTGCTGCTAGTGCCATCCAACAGAAAGACAAGCTTGAGAAAACATGACAGCATCCTCATCCACTTCATTCACCAGATCTGGCACTGTGTGACTTCTGGCTCTTCCCAAGTCAAAATTACCATGAAAGGGAAATGTTTTGAATCAATTCAGGACATGGAGACAGCCAAGACAGGACAACTAAAGATACTCAAGAAAGAGGACTGTAGAACTGCTTCCGAAAGTGGCAAGAATGATGGGATAAGTGTGTTTGAAGTATTTTGAGGGAATTAGTGGCAATGCATCTTTTACTGTAATACATTTTAAAATTTAAACACACATATTTTTCAATCACACCTCATAGGTGTGTGTGTGTGTACATCCATATAGCCCAGGTGTTTAGTAGGCTACACCATCTAGTGTGTGTAGGTACACGATAATGTTAACACAACAGTGCAAATGCTTGATGATGCATTTCCCAGGGCACACCCCATTGGGAAGCAATGCGCGACTGCCATGCTGCTGTGTCCTGATGCCCAATCAGCACCTCCCACTTAACATGACCGCATGTCACTCCTGCTGCCCCAGACCTCAGAATGCCCAGCTGTACATGATACACCCTTATCACCCACAGCTAAATTTAGTCACTAAGTCTTACTGACTTCACATGTTAAATACCTGTGGCTGCTCCCTCTTCCGCATTATTCCAACACCTAGCTCCCTTTGGGACAGCTACAGTGGGCCAATCCTTCCAAGAATTAATGTTCTCTGATTACTTGCCCCAAAGCCAACCTGATCACACTCCATAAACTTCAGTGGCATCTTAGAGGCAAAAATAGAGGAACCACCTCCTCACAGCATTCAAGTCTCCGAATTTGTTCTGTACACTTCTGCTCCCCACCTTTGAATAAAACGCCATGCCTTTTGAGGCCCTGTGCCCACGTACTCACTATTTCCTCCTCCGGGATGTCTTCTTTCATGAATGTACCAGGTAAACACTATCTTGTCTTTAGGATGGAGCTCAAATTCGTATTCTCTTTTATTCCTGACTCTTCCTCATCGTAGCCAGACGCTGGTTGCCTTTGTGTGTATGTGTGTGTGTGTGCGTGCGCATGTGTGTGGGTGGGTGGGTGTGTGGGTGTTCTCCTGCTAACTTAATGTGCATCTATTACAGAATTCATCTTTTTGTATCCCAGTCACTGGTTTGCATGCCTGACCTCCACCTGGGCTGTGAATTCTGCAAGGTCATGGAACAGCTCTACAATACCTCTGGATATCCGATACCATCACAAGCACTCAGGATGTATTTATCAAATGAGTGAATGAACGATGTCTCTCCTCTTTTGCTTTTTTGTTCAGTTCAGCATCTGTTGTATCTTTCATGCTAGAGCTGATACAAACCACAATGTGGACTTAGCCAACTTTACAGACAAAACTGAGCCTTCAGGGCATTGTTTGAATTTAATGAGTTATCAGTGTGACATTCTGCACCCTCAGAATTACTCAACAGGACAACTCTACCAGCAGCCCAACCACATCCTTATCTTGGACCCAGCCAGTGAAGACAGCCCAGGGGTCTGCAGGCAAGAATTTGCCAGAGTACAGATATATAAATCAATCTCTACGTGCACATCCGCCTTCAAAGAGTATTCATTCAAAACTTATTCCAAAAGCCAAGCAGATGCCATCATTAAGATGTCAGCAATTCGGAACAGATAGTCCAGGAAGTGATCCCAGTGTAGATAACACTTTAGAGAGGATTAGGGAGGCGTGGCAATTCAGGAACTAAGGGAAGCTTTAGCCACCAAATGGGGTGGAACCGTCAATGAGCTACTCAGAGCATATTGATTTTATTCTCACCACGAAACAAGATAGATCTAAAATTCCAGGCTCCCTGGTAAGCATAAGAACATGAATTCAAGCAATGACGAAGTATTGCCTTGCCATTCAAATCACCAAATACATCTCACTGCTGGTGGCAATACACAGCATAGACTTCCATGCATTGCTAGTATACTTGTCCTGGTATCAACAAGTAGCACTTATCAGAAGCTGTGATGCTGGTTCCTTTGGCCCTAATAACTGCACTTCTTAAGGAAAAACAAACCACTGAAGTCACCTTGAATGCAAAACAGGATGTTTGCCCAGAGAGAGTCATCCAGTATTTGTAAAAGTGAAAATTTAAACATTCAAGACACAGGAGAATGGGCCATTCTCCCCAGCATTTGACACCTCTGCAAGCTAACTCCATGTGGCTTCCCGTCTCAGCAGGAACATTTGTGACACATGTGCACCAACCCTCTGCTCACCCCAAACCGCCTCTGTTCACAGCTGGAGCTGGATGGTCAAAACTGTCTCAGACTTGAATATAAAATCACAGTAGATGGCATCACATCCAGTGGGGCAAAAATGGATTCTTAGGGGATAAATATTCTTAGATATTATGATGGTCTGTGACTCTTCTAGGGCTGCAGTACGCAAACAGATATAAGCTGTCTTAGTCACTTTCCTGTCGATAGACATGGCACCTGACGCCGAATCTTAAAGGAGGAGATATTATTTTAGCTCACAGTTTCCGTCTGTGCTCAGCTGGCTCCAAGGCAGGAACAGGATGGCAGAGGCGCACAGCAGAGGAGAAGGTGCTTAACCCCTCACAGCCACAAAGCAGAGAGGGCAGGGAGGAGCTGGAGAGCAGAACACACCTTTCTGGCTTCCAACCCCACCTTTCCTGCCAGACCCAACTCCTATCTGCACATTCAGCTACTGAACTCAGCAATGATTAATCCACGGATGCATACGGCACCCCGTGATACAATCACCTTCCACACAGAGCCTGGGAGGACATTTTAGATCTAAACTGTAACAACAGTGTATCGGTACCGTTAAAATTTCATGTGGGTGGGAACTAGGGAAACACAGTCTTAGAAGGTTCCTGCGGGAGAAGGAAGGTTGAGAAGCACTGAGTTGACGTTTGCCCCAAGTACAGACCATGGTTCTTCCGAGCGTGGGATGTGGGTCCAGCTGCTATCATCGTGACTGTCACCCACATGAGCCTCACAGCTCCTCAAGTGTTAGAAGCTAAGGGATATGGAGCTGTACTTATGAAGGCCTCAGGAGATCTCAGCTAAAATATGTCTACCAGGCAGGTCACTCAAGTGCCTACCCATGTGTGAGTGGGCACCATTCTTTCCACTTCAGACGGATGGTCCAAAGGAGCTGCAAAACCCACACTTCTCAGCACCAGGGAAACAAGCCTGTCTTCGAACAGCCCTCCTTCCAGTGGGAAGCCTCTCAAAACCTTCCCCCGGGTGACGGCAGCCCAGCAGTGCGCACCAGGTGCATCTCCAGGGTCCACATGGAACTCGGCTAAATCACCCTAGCACCAGGCAGTGTTCACAGATGGTGCACTTGCGGAGTGTACACCAAGCCAAAAGGCAGCAAGCGGAAATGATGCTTTGGAAGTGTAACCTGGCCCGGGTGAAAGGAGCAGCTCAGTGACTAAAATCCTTGGCCAGAGAGGAAACCCTGGGGGAGAGGCGCCTGGGATCCTGTGGGTACGGCAACCGTGGCATGCTGGGGCACGAGTGACTCTGCAAAAGAGGTCCAGATCATGTAAGGATTTGCTTCTCATCACTCAGGAGAGAAATTTTAGAATCTCAGACTTTATTGGTCAAACTATTACTTTCTCCATGATACTGTAATTTATACTAAGAAATATAGGTTTGGCTTGGCCTATGTCCCTATTTCCTGGCATGTAGCTTATAAAAGAACATGTAATTTCTAAATGACAGAGGCTCTAGGAACATCTTTTATTTTAATATTTGCTCTGTGACCCTGGTTTCTTTTTAAATTGAATATATATATATAGATATTACATTCATCTTGGAGAATTGATACACATACATATTGCATCTAGGTCATTTTTAATTCTCCTCTTCCTCCTGCCCTCCCCTTTCCCCTTGACCCCAGTTTCTGAACCAGAGCTCCTAAATCTCTGGGGGGTTTTGGGTGACAGGAGTGTCTTTGGTTCTAACGAGGCAACTCTTTCTGGGAACCTAGACGGAGACTTGTCACTAGAAAGAGTAAATCTTGACTAGAAACTTGGAACCTTCAGCTCCATATTCCACCCTTCAGG